CACCTAAAATTCAAAGGAGACAAATGTCAACCTTCTTTCAAAAAAATGTCTGGTACCTAATTGCCACGCGTTTTCCTCCCCCCACTAGTTGTCTTATGAGGTGTCACGAAAACTGTCTATATCCGTTCCCCCCTACCGATCCAACCAGCGTACCAATCTTAACTCGAGATAAGTTTTGGATGTCCACCTATTGTTACCACGCGTGTTGATGGCTAATGTAACTAAATCAACGATGTCGATTAACTAGTTACTCTAATTCCCCCCTTTTTACAATTTACAACCGCCAACCTCTAACCTAACCAGCCCCCCTGCTAACCTCCCCCCTGTTTAGCCCCCCTCTTAAGCCAAAAAATCCCTTAAGCGCCGGGTGCTAAACCTCTCTTGAGAAAACCGTAGACCTGTTTCCAGGTCTGCTTGAGTAAAAACTGTTTCAAAACGATGGGACTCCGCTTATCCAATTTTACACTTATTTCCTATAATGTAATGTGGATTCTAACGATACCCGTTGTCCGACTTGAGAACACCCCTGTGCGTCCTCTTGTAGTGGCCCTGTGCTGGTTGTCTCTGTTCTGCCCTTGACAGCAGACCCACTTTCCCACTCGACTGGTCACCTCTTCCAATCAAGTCTCTTGGTGGTCCGTTTCGATCCTTGTGAACCTCTTTCCCACTCGACTGGTCACCCTTTCCAGTCAAGTCTCCCAGTGGTCCGGTTGGGTCGCAATCTATCTAAAAACCCTTAACAACGCCCCCCACTCGGGCACCCTACCAAGGTCACTGCTAGTTGATCGAAAAATTGCTAGATTGATCGAAACGATCGGTCTTGTAAAACAGTATGTGTATACTATTTAATTAATACAAAGGTTCGATCCAACTAATTTGGTATCAAAGTCACTGTCTTTTTTCGTTTTATAGTTTTTGTTCCTATTTGTTTTCCTTTTTTGCTCGTGTTTTTGTCCCCCTAGTTGCCCCCCTTTACTCGGTTAGCTAAGCCTCGTTCGGAGAGCGTACCAGGAAGTTTTCTTGAGTTTTCTTAAAAAGCTATCACGGTACAACCGGAAGGTTTACACGTTCCCGCTGAACCGTACCACCGGTACTCTAGAATGGGCATGTAGCCCGGAGCTGTGTCAAGTGGGTTCGACTCCGTAGTCATGATGTCGTAAAAACACCCAGGAGCGCCATAAAAACACTATGTAACAGTCGCCTACTTTAGTCACATATGAGGCTTAAGAAAAATAGGCCCTATAACCATTGGCTCAAGAGTCAGGGACACTATCTCTTGTGTTTTTCCGCCTCAAGAACGGTCGGAGCCAATTCGGTTCGCTTGCGACATGAGACTGGAACCCATTACAGCTTAAAGGCCACTACCAAAATACCCCCCCACTCTAGAAATAAAAACGTCCCCATACTTAGGTCTCGGGATACCCAAAATACATGAACGCCGTTAAAAACCGGGTCGGAACAATCCGCTTAGTCACTTTTTATTGGACAGTGGAACTTTGATCCATTTCAGATGGATCAACCTAAAACTCGCCTTATCTCAACATAACTATCATAAAATGCACTCGAGAAATTTAAATTGGAACTTACATATCGACGCACTTGAGTATGAGGAGTAAGTTATAACTGAGCAGCTTGAGAATTAACTAATATAACTAAATAAGTTTTAAGGCCAATTAGTTTCAATAACGAAAGTAAGTTCTGTCTCAAGAATTGAAGTTTTCGTTTGGACCATTAGGACACTCGAGTAGTCCTCTATTCCGTTGAAGGTCCACACTATTCCATTCGAATAGTGATCCCTCCTCAAGTCAATGTTGTTTTCTCCTGTTTTCGGGATAAGACAGCTCTACTCTCTTGATATTTCGTATCGAGAAATTGCGAATAGCAATTTCCTGCCTTTTTCTTGAGTAGTTTCCCGCAATTGTTAATTCGGGTGTTCTGATTTCTGACTTTTTCATTTTCAGTTGGTTCGAGAAAATTGAGCATGACATGCTCAATTCGAATTTTGCAAAATTAAAATTTCACTCCAAAATTGCGTATTTCTCAAGGTCAAACCCCTAGACATGACCGACTGGCACATGTCCGTCAAAATAAAGGAAGCAAAATGGTCGGTTTCATAAGGTTTATCAAAACAAAATTCAATGCCGTTTGTTTCATAGTCACTGATAATGTAGTCGATATGAGTTTTAGTTGAGGAACTAATTCTGGTCTCATCGTTTGGACAAAAAACCTTCAATCCATATGGAATAATTATAGAATCTAAATTTTCTTTTTCTTTGCTAACCAGATAATTTATGTTATAATCACGCAGAAGCGTAATTTTATTAGAAATTGAAAATGCATTATCTATGTTAAGCGTTAATTGTTCCAAAAAATCAATAAAGTTTGATCTGCTTGGATTATAACACAAATTAACTAACATTTTTTCTTTACTGGAAATGTTAAATGTAGATTTGCACTCAACCCACACTGACTCATATTTTTCTTTATCAAATAAATTTAAATCAGGCCTCAATTTCGGAGCCAATTTGAGTGGTATATATAACAAAACGCCACCGCCTTTCTTTTTTACCGCTGATTGCCTATCATATCTGAACATCGCATGCGTTCTAGGGTGGAGATTCCATAAATTATCACTATCTTTTTTTTAAGCCACGTTTCGGAAATTCCTATGATTGTATTTTCGCCCATATCATCAAGAATTTTTTTCAATTGCAGCCGTTTTCTAATAATACTTTGAAAATTCAAATGAACAAATTTAAGATTTGCACAATTTTTTGAGCAGATGCCGTAGACTGTTTCAATGGTTTCAATAGGACCAGGGTTTTTTTCAACATCCCCACTTTGGTTCAGTAAAAACGCAAAAAGGAAAAGATGAGTCAGTGTGGTAGCTCTCCGCTCATTTATCCCACATTTCGATGATAATATCTTTTGATGGCAGCTTAGATAGCACCAGTGAACAATGGTTTTTTCTATATTTTCCATCTGAGCCTTGGAAATTAGAAAAATTGCACAAAAAAACCAGAATTTAATATTCAGCATAATAAATTAAATAAATTAAATAATCGCCAAAGTTGGCACCAAGAAAAAATGCGAAACTAGTATTTCCTAAAGAATTTTAGGAAATACTAGTTATCTTGTCTCTTTTGTTTATGGCAAGTAATTCTTTGTTAAGTTCCTTCTCAATTTTCAGTATAACCTCATTTGTACTTTCAATTTGTCTTTTGACTTCTAATTTGTAATCGCTTTCATTTCTTTTTTATTATTAGCTTTTAAAATGTAAGAAATTTAAAATGTTAATTCAAACGTTTTCGCACATTCTGTGCATCATCAGGATTAAAATTTTTTTACAATATTTACAAAACGATCAAAAATCTGAAAAATGAGAAACGTGTATAAAAATGCTCTAAAACGTTTTAACCAATCAAATTTAAACAACTGTAATTACATAATATAATTACGTAATCATGAATAACATTTTCCTGTAAATTTCTGAGATTTTTTTAAGTTTTTTGTCCTTTCTGGTTATAAAATCTGGGTCGCGTTGCAAAGTTTCTCGGAGCCATGCAGCCGTACTTCTAACTGGAGTTTTTAAAATCCATTTTTCTAGAATCTTTTTAAAAATCTATGTTTTCTCTATAAAAATTAGGAACAAGTAAAGCGTAAGGTGAAATGATAAAAATCATCGTCTAAAATCAGTTCCAATAGGGTCTTCTGGGTCGCATTGCAAAGTTTCTCGGAGACATGCAGCCGTACTTCTAACTAATTTGAACTTCTGATCAACGAACAAATAATATAAGGTTACGTTTCAAAACGAGCCACGTTTTGTCTTCAATTGCTTGAGGTTTGGAACGCAAGACCCAATGTCTCTTGCTTTTAAATTTTAAATGTTATTGAGTGAACGGTGCTTACACCTCGAGAATGATCCGCTTTTTCGTTTCCGATTTGAGTAATGCCACGCTCTCGAACACGTTCACGTAGCTTCTCTGGAGGTCACCGAAGGCATTCGCCTCCTCCATATAATGCCCGAAGAAGTCCAGTTCCCTCGTATAGAGAAAAGTACCGAGAAAGAAGAAGTCCCTCACCAGAATATCGAGAGAAATATCGTGAGCGAAAAGAACCTTCTCCTCGAAGATCTGGAGGTGGAAGCCGGGGTTTCGGAGGAGGCCGTGGCGGAAAACCAACTCCAGCACCTTCCAAATGCTTGGGAATCTTCGGTTTGCACGATCGAACGTCCGAACGTGATATAAACAGAACTTTTTCTTCGTACCCTGGTTTTTTGAACGCTAGATTAATCAAAGATTACATAACAGATCGTACCAGAGGCTTCGGCTTCATGAATTTCGAAACAATAAATGATGCCGTTTATGTGAAGGATAAGTGCAATGGAATGGAACTCGATGGCCGAATAGTCACTGTGGAGTTTTCGCATTCGAATCGAGCTGTTACTCCTACTCCTGGTGTCTACTGTGGTGCCAGAGAGCGTGATCGAGGGCCTCGAACAACTCCTAGATATGATCCTAGAGAAAGATCCAGATCGCCTCCAAGAAGACGATGACTTCAACGGAAGTTTGCTGAAACCGATTGTTATCTCTTTGGTCGTACTTAATTTGAAACTTACGAAACGTAACTGAATAAGTGTTTGTCGTCCAAGATAATGTCAATGAATCACTTCACCTTGCAATGCAGTATTTGTTTGTTGGTATGTATTTTACTCCTTAATCTAAAAGCTCTTTTTAAATTACATATAACGTCTCTCAAACGTTTGTTCTTTTTAAGGTTGTTTCTACAACCACGGGTCACAATACCAAAAATACAAAACAATTTGAAACTTCTTCGTAGAAACTATATACAACATCGGATACAATACAATTCATCTCCAAACAACTGCTTTTCCTCAAATACAACAAACAGCGTCAATTTATCATAGCAGCGGGTCTCGTATTTTTGGAGCAACTAAGAAACATAAACAATCTTCTACTGAGTTCCGTTTGGCAATTGAACTAGTTCGAATTGTATGCCGTGACAATAAGATGTCGTTGCTTTTGATAATTCCACACCTTCACACGCTCATTGGTCGCCCAAAATGTATAAACAATCACCAGCACCAAATCGAATACACCAATGCCCATCAAAATAGCGCCAATATATCGACAGTAGAATAGAAGCTTGTAAAAGAAAGCCTGACTGAATGTTGCTCTTGATATCTGGGTTTTGATTTGCTGATAACTGATTAGGTTGCTCCCCGGCGTTAGTATGTAGTGTCCACACACCAGACTGAAACGAAACGTAGAGTGAGTGACAACTTTTACGAAAAGGCGCTTGCTCCGTGGACTCCAAAACAACCAGCAGTCCCTAAAACCTTCCTTTTGAGTTGAATAACCAAATTGCTACAAGTGTTTGCGTGTTTAAAAAATCCTTATGTTGGCGAAAAGAGGCGGAAGGATCGAACAAGGACGGTAAGTATGCATTATAGGTGAGTTATGGATTGATAGTTGGTATACGTTTGGCAACTAGCTTAAACCAAAGGAACCCAAAGCTACCGATATCACCGAGAGGCATTGAATGTTCCGACTTCATTTAACCTGTCTAAAGAATTTTTCGGAAAGATATTGACAACTTTTTACATGATTTGAATTAAGATGCATTAAAAAAACTATCCCAACGCCTAAATTACAAAAGCATAAATTTTGCGTCTATAAACGTCTTTTTTGGAGCAATAATTTTGTTTCAATTCCATTCGGAAATAAAACTGTTATAATTTTCTGGAGCACCAATTTGCCCAATTGGCAGTTTTGAAAACCCATAGCTTCACCAAAAAATAGCTAGTGAATTCTTAGTCAAATAGTTAGGTAGATATTGACTAAAAGCAAGCAGAAAACGAATGTTGCCTCAATTTCTTCAAATTGCCTGAACCGCATTAATGGAATGATCATGTGAAGTTTATCGCTTGTGATAACATTTTAAAGCTCTTTCAGAGGTGATTTTGATGCTACCAAAGATTCAAAAAGCTCTCTCAGTGTCAATGGAAACTGTTTACCTCTTTTTGTCATTCAGCAAAATTGCCAATAGGGAGATGAAGTCACTCAATAGAACGATGGTGTAATAGCGGTACAAATATATTGAGCCTATTTGCATTTCAGATGCCTGTTTAATTTACACTAGCCACCTTAAGAGTATTGTGTTATATTACGAATTTACTTTATCCAATCCTGAGATAAGGGTATTGCAATCGGGTACTTAACTTGCCGTGAATAACTTTGTTCACAGAATGGTCAATTTTTGGAAATGGTAACATTCAAGACATGCTCAATTTCGTGGAGTACGTTTTAGAAATAATTTTTTAAATAAATGCTTAGAAAATTGAATGTTTTTTCTGATTCGTGGTTTTCGTCCTAATTTCCATCGGTTCATTTTCCGTTTTTTAAAATATCATTCTTTTATCATTAATCGATAATTTGTCATTTTATCAAGTCTGATTTTGAATAATTTTGTTTTTTATTATTTTCGACAATGGTTTCGGTTGACGTTGTATCGAGGGGCGGATTTAGGGGGGGGGGGGGGGGTCCCCTTTGATACTACCGACCCTAAAATTTTTCTATAGGCGCCTCTGGCGCCAATATATACTAACTTTCAGGGGGAGCGCGCACCAAAAAAAAAGAAGAAGTTTGTCAAAACTTTCTAAAAAGTGCCCAAAAACGGCTTTTTTGACCTCTTTTTTCAAAAAATTGCTTGCGGCGCAGAAAATTTGGGCAAAACAGCATCTTTTTAGTGCTTTAGGAGAGCTCCGAAAATCAATTTAATCGACAAAAAAAGGCCGTCAAATTTTTCGAAATTTTTTTGAAAATCCGCCCCCCTCCGAGAAAATCCTAGATCCGCCCCTGGTTGTATCGCCTTAGTCTACTTATATTTTGTGGTTTCGATGGTTAAAAAATTCCTGTTCGACAAAATCAGATGCTATGAAAGTGTATGGAATTTCAAACGAAGTTACAGGTTCTGTGAATCTCTTTTGCAAAAGCGGCTCTGCCCATTTTTTTTCTACATAAAAAGTTGCCCTTCGTAATAGTCAAATATTTGATTTTCGACCGTTTTTCGAAGTTCTTTTGACTTTTCTTGAAAACTAATCTCTGAAATCTGAGATTGTGGACGCAATGGAGCTAACGGGTAGTGGAATGCTCCACCGCATTTGCGGCCACTCAAATATTTTTACACCAAAAGTTATCGCATTCGGAAAAATAAAGTTTTTTACAGTTCTCGAAAAATAACCTTCCAAATCTGAGTTTTGGGGTTCATTCGAAATTACAGGTTTCGTGAATCTCTTCTGCATAAGCGGCTACGCTCAATTTTTTCATACAAAAGGTATGGCCGTCGGAAAAATCAATAATCGCTTTTTCTACCCCTTTTTGAAACTAATTGACGTCTCTCGAAAACTATCCCCTAAATCTTGAGTTTTTGCGGTCAATTAGAACAAGGTGCTGTGTGAATCGCGTCTACATCAGCGGCTATGTCCATTTTTTACACTACACTAAAAGGAATGATTTGCGGAAAAGTCAAGTTTTTGATTTACTGACCGTTTTTTTTGGATTTTTTTTGACTTTTCTCAAAATGTGCCGTTCCAATTCTTAGGTTAAGTTTCGGTTTAATCGAGAAACATGTTTTTGAGAATTTTCGCTGTTTAAGAGGCCACGACCTTTTTTTTGCTGAAAAAGTTGTGGATTTCGGAAAGTCTTGTTTTTGAACTTCGACCGTTTTGTACAAACTTTTTGATTTTCTTCGAAACTATCATATCAAAATTGGAATGAAGGGTTCAATCGGAAGAACTGGTTGTGATAGTTTTTCCTACTGAAGTGGCTACTTCTAATTTATTTAAAAAAATTTTCTGTTTTTTGGTACATTGCAATTTCTCAAAAATTTTCACTCTTTTGACTGATTTCAGCTGAGAAACAGTTTTAGGCAAAGTCCAATTTTTGAAATTACCCATTTCAGCCCGCCTCAGCATAAGAAATTCAAAAAACATGAAATAGCTACTTCCGGCGTCAGCACCTTGTTCTTTTTTATCGCATTTTGAAAAAGTCCATTTTGTAGAACCCTGCATTTTACTAACTTATACTTATTGGAATTGGTCAAACGAATGTGGAGAAAGTGACTGTGATGGCTATTAATGTGATTTGAAATGGGATCCAATTGTTAAGATGGTGTCTAACGTGGTGGTGGTGGTGGGGGGGGGGGTGGAGTGTTGAGTTGATGTGAGTTACCTTGCCACACAGAGGTAGATGCCGAGTAGAACTAGGAATAGACAGAGGAGAATCCACTTGATGCTGTTCTTCCAGTACTGCAGCATGTGCTGTCTCCTCCTCCTCTTCTCGTCCACAGTCATCTGCCGCTGACGCAGTTTGAACTGCAGAAGTCTAAACACACACTACACATCTACCAATCGCCACTATATATAACAATCGCGCTACTGTCTCAACCTAACATTTGTCCGAAATGTCTCAAACTTGGCTGAAACTATCTACACTAACTTAAGACAAACGTAGAAAATTGAGGTTTTTAGAATTGTTTCTAACCAATGTTGCCCGTTTCAGGCACAGTTTTGAGGAAAATTTGCTTGATTTTTTTAATAGCATGGGTTCATTGCGTAAGGTGAAGCTTATTTCTATAGAAGTTATTCTTGCCTTCTTAGATTCGATTTGGCCGTGCCAAATATATTAGTAAATTGTCAGAACTGTCCCAATCTTATTTTTTGCTTGCAGATATTCAATGGTTGGAGTTTTATAGTTTTTTTTCTACATGCGAGTATCAGAAAATTACTACTATTTCTGATTTGTATGAGGCATGGGATGTTTGTTTTGGTTGATTCTCGGTTCCAAGTTAGGGCTCATGGTGGCTCTTGCGAGTTATAAATTTGGAGCATTTGATTACTTTTTGCGGGTCTTTTACCCTTTCGACGATTATCCTAGAAACATTGAAGAGCCCTCTTAGGCGATTTTTACACTCTTTCCTTCCAATTTTTCATCAATATCCAGAAAATTGAGTGGAATTTAAAAACCTTTTCCCTGAAATTTATCAGTCTGTTCACTATCTCCGTGTACTTTTTAAACTAGACAGTTTGTTACTTCTATTTACACCCTCGAGCAGCGAAGTGTATTTGTACGAACCTTCTTTTTTCTAACTTGCAAAAAAAGTGTATTAAAGTTGTTCTCTTATTTGGTGGCTCTTTTGCTATAATCACTATCTGTAGCATTTGAAATTTCTTAGCATCTGTTCTCTGCTTTTTTGTGGCTAGTGTTTGTGATTTATTCAGCGTCGGTGGTTAGTGCGTGAGACTAATAATCTCTAGAACGCAGATCGAATCCAAGACGTAGCCGAATTTTTACTAATTCGAGGCTTACTTGTACTTTTTCATCTTTCAGTATATAGAGCTGCTTTTTGTCGTGTTCTCGCAAGTGTTTGCGAAGCGAAGCTTCTTTGTGTGGATTCTAGATCATTTCATTGTTCTCAAAAACAGGCGTTTGATTTGGTTCCTTTGTTCTAGGTGGTTGTTGTTCCGACTTTTGAAACTGGGAAGGAAGTTTGTATTCGGGTGTGTTTTAGTTTTTGTATATTTCCTTGTAAAATCAGTTACCACAAATAATCATCGGATTTGGTGGAGTGATATAGCATATCGTAGACCGCTTAGTCGTGATTCGAACGACATCAACAAATTTTCAAAAATTTGTCCCAGTGTCGAGAAAAACTGGTTTGAAGTTTTTGAGATATAATTTAATTTCGAGCAAGTAAAGCTGTCGAGTAAAGCTATGCTTACATTAAATTTGGACTTATAGCGAAAAACTTATTTTAAAACTTCCTGAGCGCTTTTTCGGCCCGAAATTTTGTCCTTTAAAACATGAAAAGTTATTGTGCAAAAAACACAAGAAAACACTAGGATTTTTTTTCTAAATACCCGTGTCTGTTATTCATTTTTTTGAAGCCAATTATCCTCAATTCTGCATAACGGGGCACGTTAGGAGTTTTCTCGGTTCTCCGCACTAATTAAAAACTGCCCGCTGAAACGGGTCAGGAGTTTTGCTCGGTTCTCCGTACCGAAAACTTCTCCCGAGGATGGGTTTTACTCAGTGCTGTCATAAGGGGGCCTTTCGGCTCTTAGAAACCCCTGGGAAAGCCACAGTTACTGTTTGACGAAACAATTAATCAATCTGAAACAAGACAATAAACGACAATGACAATAAAGTACTCGGCAACTAAAAACAATAACAAATAAAATAAACGGCAACTAAAAACAATAACAAAACGAGGAAACGGCTGATCTAGACAGTGAACTTAATGACGAGCTAAAAATAAATTCAAGACTTTTTGGGCGATAAATGATTAGTTTATTCACCACTTGCTTACCCTCAAATCGAACGAAAATAAGACTAACAGCTGTACTAAATAGTGGTTCATTGTTCGGCTAACTATTTTCTTTTTTAGTTCCTTTGCTTTGTTTGCTTTACTGTTCCCCATAATTGCCTAGTAAGTTCACTTTCTGGCCAAGACCCGTCTCCTTGTCATTCACCGCATTATTATTTTAAAAAACTGCCGTTTCACGGCTTGGTGTTGAATCAAATTGGGCGACGTCGTAAGTTAAACTCGTTACTGCAATCAGGGCCCCTATTTTACTAAAGGGCGCCCCGTGGAGCCACAGTGCGGATCTCGCAAGAGAAGAGGAGAGTTAACAACAACCTTCTTAGGAAGAATTGTTGAACACAGGATTCGACTAAATCTGGACAACACTGGACCGAAATAAAGGATGCGCTGCCTCAGGAGAGGCAACATTGTTGAAATCCCAATTAAGATTTGATTGAAAATTGTGGTTAAATTACAGCCGCTGCTGCTGCTTCGTCTTGTTTTGTGGGTGACAAGGAGGTCCTATAAGGTCCTTCTTGCCCGCTCTACGGCACCCTTTGGTCGTTTAGCCACACGTCGGTCGTTCCGAAAATGTTTTGTGCTGCTATGGTACCTGGACATTCAAGTATCCAGTGTTCTACTGTTTGAGGATTTTCCCGGCATAGCGGGCAGGTTGGGTCCGTCGTAGGATCCATGAGTTTTTTGTATGCGGCTAGTTTCGTACAGTGTCCTGCTGTATTTCCGGTTTTTGATATTGTCCCTGTCTCTTTTATCGGAGAGGTGCTCGTATGTCAGTCTTGTGCGATGGTGTATTGGCGATGGATCGCTTCGCTGGTGGTGCGTTTGATCCAGGCCTTTGCGCATTTCATGGAGGTTGGTTTCGGCCGCTCCTCGGTCATGTCGGTGGCTTCTTTGGCCGCTTGGTCTGTCCATTTGTTTCCAGGTATTCCAATATGGGCTGGTATCCATTGAATCGCAACTTTGCTCGTTAAGCAGTCTAATCGTCCTCTTAATTGCTCCGTGTCTCTACTGTTGTTTGCAAGGGCTGATGCTAGGGATTGGCTATCTGTACAAATTAGCACGCAAGTCGCAGGACTTTTGGCTATCCAATCTATTGCAAGGCGCATACCCTCCTTTTGTTCTTCGAATGACGAGATCATTGGGCGTTTCGCTTCCGGTCCTTTAATTTTCTCTCCACCGTGATCGCTACACTTCCATGGGCTTCTTGTGACTTACTTGTGGTTTCGTCTAATTTACAGCTGTGAGTAGCAACAGCACCGCTCTTTCTTAATTCAGTTTTGACTTTTCACAAGCAATCTCAAACTTCCAGAAAAGCTCGTAGGTTTTTAAGTATCGTATTTGTTTTAGTCAGCCTTAGGCAATCTCTAAACCAAACCCCCATAACTTTACGAAAAATGATCACAGGTGAAATATCTTTTCAAGTTTAAGCTCAGGACAATAATACCTTCTGAATGATATAAAAAAATTCCGTCAAAAATGGCGCTAGTTAAAAACGCAAAAATTGTCTGAAGAAAAAACCCACCTCGAGCAGAAATATTCCGTTTCTTTCGTTACGAAAGTCAGAACAAAAATATTTTAACGTTTTTTTTTTAAATAAACTGATTTTAACTTCTCACTTTTTTCTGCAATTATAAATGTGGTCTGAACGTGATTTGCTTCTTTCAAAGCGACTGATTTCCTAGCAGTTTTAATTACTTCAGAAAAAATTGCAGCTACATGAGTGTAATCGAGTGAAAGTTTTTATTGTAGCAGTTTTTATTAGGATTTCAAAAAATATATCAGGGTAGACAAAACTTCCAAAAAACAATTTGATAAGAGGTTTCTTAAGGTCTAAGAAGAGCTGGGTTGTTTCAAAAATTCGCCTTCTTCTCTTCAGCTTCATAAAGCTTCTATTTCGTCCGCTCTTTTACTTGTTTTTTTTTTCGCTTTCGTATACATGTTAATTACATAAGATGTCTTATCGCTGCTAAATTCCAATCTAGTTATACTTTTTTTTAAAATCCCATAAAAACAAAACTAAGCTCTAAGTGAGTTTCTGCCTTGGCTACTTGCAGAGCAAATTTGTTTCCCTGCTGGGGTTTAGTTGTGTTAATATATTTTTGTGTGTGTTTGGGCGCCTGTTTGTGTGTGTGTGTGTGTGTGTGTGTGTGTGTGTGTGTGTGTGTGGGTGGGGGGGGGGGGTTTGAGAAATTAGACGATAAGCAAATTAGACGGAGGTACGTAAAAGGAAATTGGACGATTTTGCAAAACTGCAATTGTGAGAAAATAGACGAAAGTGAGAGAGATCGAAATTGTTTGCAGACAAATCGCGTGAGAAAAAAAATCGTTTACAGAACAGTTAAGTTTCGATGGTCAAAAATTTTTACAAATCAATCATGCCTAATTTATTCAACTCAAAACTCTCCTGTAATGTTCGGATTTGACATTTTATGTTCATTTAAACTAATTGGTTTGATAGGTATTGACATTCTTTTTTTATTTGTGAAACTTGACTCTTAAGAAAAAATTTTGTTGACCCTTTCCTTTGCATAGCTCTTTCGTCTAAAATGCCAGATCTGTAAAAAGATAATTTTCGTCCAATTTCGTTTTTGTAGCATCCGTCTAATTTGCTTATCTTCCAATTTCCCAGTACCTGCGTGTGCGCGCTTTCTTTTATGAATGTGTTGAAGTAATTGTTTTTTTTTGTGTGTGGGTGTGTTTGCTTTCGTGTATGTTTGTCTATAAGTGACTGTTTGTGTGTGTGTGTGTGCGGGTGGGTGGGATGTGTTTATTGTTTGTTGGAGACTGACCTGAGGCGTTTTCCTTTGACATTGGCCCTGTTGGTGGCCACACTTCTGTACACCATGTTCATCTAGCTCCTCTCCACTTCTTTGGTCGCTCCTCTTCCGCTATTCGCAGGAGAGAGAGAGAAAAAAACACAAGTAACACTGAACCGCCGAACAACTGATAATTAATTATCTATCCTCTACTAGTTACCAGTCCAGATAAGTGTGATTAATTGGCCAACTTCTCTGAACAAAGCCTGGCCAATGGGAAGTACATTTGTTTACTACTAGTAGTTATAGCTGCTGCGGGTATTCAATCTATCACATGTAGTCTCATCTGTTCATCAAATTTTGGTAGAATGAAAATATCAAAAAATTGGGCAAGTTTTGCAAAAGAAAAGTTCAGCTGAGGAAACTTTTTCAGGAGTGTCTTTTCTGCTGAGAAGGAGTTTCATTGTGCAGGAATATGGAACTGGTGTGAGTCATTTCAACTATGAGAGTCACTTTTTGATGCGAATTTATAAACATAAGAGCACTTCAATAACCACTTGTATGTCGAAATGTGCTATGATGTAATAAAGATATATTATGGTTTAAAGGAAGCTATTACAATTGTAATGGAGTAATGCCGCAGTCTCAATGGAAAGGGAGCCAGCCTAATTAACTGCGATGGTAAGTGGATCTTCTCGTTCTAATTTGGGTGTGAAATCATATGGTATGAAAGCGGCCTTGTCCAATTGTACTGCAAATTACAGCACAGACGGCTGGGAAGATAAATTTGTGCTGGGGGCTCATTGCAACAATCTGATTAGTCGGTCTTTGAGATAAAAACCTCCTCCCGCCCGACCACCTTCAAGTGCATGCTAGACTAGTAATACTACAAAATACAGTACCAAAGTGGTAGTAAAGAATTGGTAAATTGAAATGGAACAACTGGGCTTAATGATGAGGGTTAGTTTTCTCTCTTTTTTCTCTTTTTTTTTCAAAGAAGGAGAAAGGAAGTGTAGTTTTGATTAGAGCCGGAAGGCCGGATTTCAAAGGACCATACTAAATGGTGAGGGAGGGAAGCGTGTATGGCTGCCGAAATAGTGTCAACTGAGAAGGCTTTTCAGCAGTAAGAAATTGTTCACTTCGTACTGGTCTAACCAATAACTAAGTGTCTGATGTTTTCAACAGCTGAATCATTGAACAAAAAAAAAGATTCAAAACTATTTGAAGAATTTGTTTTTTTTGAGCCTTGTAATCGGTTTGGGGCCTAGGAAATTAGACGACCGTAAAGAAACGGAATTTACGGACAACCAGTATTTACTCAGCCAAAAGTTAATATAAGTCTGTAAACAAGTTTCACGCAATTTGCACGCAAGTTATTGTCTAAATTCCGTTATTTTCTGATCGTCTAGTTTCCTGTCGTTTAAGTTCCTAAACCCCAATCGGTTTGATTCAAATTTCAAAGAGGAAAGTTGAAGTAACATGATTGTTTTCTCTGTTAATCGGTTTTGATAATTGTAAAAATAGACTTGGGCTTTTTGAGAATGGTGACAAATGTGGTGAGTGGTTCGTGTGGCGTGATAACTTAGTTAGCTGCAACTCAATTATTACTAGTAGTAGTTAGTCTACACTCGAGTTATGCCAATGAAGAAGCTGTTAGCCTCCTCTCCTCACTTGATCATCATCATAAGCAGCAGCAGCAGAAGCAGCAGCGAGCCTTCTTCTTTTGTAACTATTGAGCCACCAGTTATTGCAGTGTATCTTACATCACATCCGCCACTACTGTCCTAAGTTCATTCTCAGCACATTATAAGTGAGAGAGCCCAAATGTGATGCAAAAAGAACGTCAGCTATAGAAAGTGGGCAAATTATTATGAGCGAAATCAGATTTGAGATTTGCTCGTCTATTTCTGTTTTTGAGGTTGTCACAACCGGATAAATATTTTGTTTTTACTGTGCATATAACATACCAGCATGCCATGGATGAAAAGGTCCTCTTCAAATTGAGTTGGTTGATGTTGAAGCTATTCTTTAAATAGTTTACTCATCAATCATCACGAATTATGTCAAATTATAAGATGGGTTTTAGTTTTTCAGATGTTCATGTAGAAAACGAATGAATGAATTTGCCTGCTGGCCATGACAAATGAAGAAAAAGGACGTGGATGGACTAGTTGAATGATAGTGAACTTTTATTTCTTACCCCCCCCCCCCCCTTGACCGAATGAACAAAGAGTAAATGAACAGGTAGCTCAATTAAACAGAGACTGTGAAATGAATGAGTAAGACCGGTTCGGTTTATTTCCATTTAGTGAAATTAAGACAAGTTCAAAAATGCCACTGGTTTTCGAAATTGTGTAAGTTATGATAATGATAATTATTTGACAAATGGCCAACAGACAGGTCAAGTAAACTTGTGTTTGCCTGTGTAAAGTGTTTACTGTTTAGTGTGAAAAGGATGACTTGCACTTCTAATATTCAGTATTTATCAACTCTGCTGACATTTTGTGAGGAGAATAGAAGAGAAGTAATATACAGTTGCTAATTCGTTCCTAATGATTGGACTGAAATTCCATCCCTCCTTCCAGTCAAATTTCATCTGCATCGCAAGAAGCCTCTTTCAATGAAAAATGCATTGGGGGTTGGTGGAAGGAAGAAGGCGAATATGCGGTTAAAAATAGTTCAAATGAGGGTTGGAGAGTGAGTGGGGAAGATGACAAGAAGTAATTAGGAAGTTAATTAGAGAAGACACACTCCAATCAGATAAGTGCTCCTCTATTTCCCCACTGGGTTCAACCTCGCCTCGGGGGAATTGAGTGTGGAAGAGGAGCTGTGTGTTAAAAGCCGTATTGACACAACCCCCCAATAAAGTGAGATGTTATGATTCTATTAACACCATGGGTGAACTGTGCAGTTTACCAAGCAGATTTCTCTCAACCGCAGATTCCTAACAAATTACGGCAGCACGGTGTGTTCTGTTCAGCTTTTAACACTCCCCAAGTAGCCGACAAATTAAAAAAAAAACACCCAAGTTCAAAGGGTTGAAGAAATGTTGAATCAGCTTAAGTAGGAAGGGATCATTTCAAGTAAGAATACATAATTCTTTTTGGGAACCGCCTTGAATTTTCAGAAGATTCGAGTGATGTGCGGATTTTTACCTAAAAACTGAAGTGTTCGGTGATTTTTTGGGCTTATAGTGGTTTCAATTGACTTTTTCAAAGCTAATGATAAATTTGTTAAAGAAAAAATTGATTATTGTTAAAGTTGTAGTTTTTTTATGACGTAATGGGTAGTAGTGTTTGTTGGGAGAATGAACATAGTAGAAATAAGTGAAGTTATGAATCACTTTAAACTGAATTGAAAATTGTTGGAAGATTAGTGGCTTCTTTTCATCTACATCAGTACACACTCCTGTTCATCCCCCTCAACTGGGATAGAAGGTGGCAATTTGGACAGGTTGTGGCAGGTGGAAATTAAACAGAGAGAGAAAGGGGGGAGGTAATCTGGATCTGGAAGAGGGAAGAAGCGATTTGTTTGTACAGGGGTGTTATTGTTGGTAAGAAGATATTTGGCAAAGTGGGTCGGGTCTGGCAGTGTAGTCCAGTGAACTGAGTGCATAGAATAGATTGGCCGCCACACATTCCTCACAAGGGAGCTGTGCGAATAACGAGTGAATGCAATTAGGGAGCTAATAGCAGAATAGCAGTTGGTGCTAGTCAATGTGCGTAAGTTGTAAACTAACAAATTAGGCCAGTCGCAGCACATGCCGCCGCCGTTCGAGGCGGAGGCAAGTGGTCCGATGTGATTTATTGTTCACTTGGATCCCACTAAAATCCTCATTTTGTCTCCAGCACCATTTTTAGGTGAAATGCCCTAAATGGAAAGTATTGGTGTTCTCTCCACCACATGTAAAGCACAGCCCAGGAACTGGTTTTAATGGAACCTCAAACAATGCTCGAACCTCAAACAATGCTTTCATTTGATTCGGATGCCAAAAAAACGCATCGAAAACGTTCTCTCTGCCTTGAGAAAACTGGTCAGAATAGCTCTGTTCCTGGACTAAATTTCAGAGAACAAGCTACTATTATCTTAGTTGACGCTAGTTTGACTCCTTTTTAGCTGCTCAAAATGTCTTTTGTATTTGGTACCGTGGTCGGAACTTTCTGTGCTACTTGCACAGCCACTGGCTAGTCATGTTATCTTGTAATTTTTTTTAGATATAAATGAATGAAATCAGGGATGGCTTGTTATTTAACCACATGATAATAAACGGCGTCTCTTAACGTAAAAAGTCTCGACCGGAGAAAAAGGCAGCAAAATTTGTTTTTGTATTCTAAAATGCTGCAGTTTTTTTGACTAGCTCATTGAATCATTTTGACGTGCCATAAGTTTAACGTTTTTTTTTAACAGTCATGATTGAAAAAAAAACGATTAAAAATCCGGAAAAGTGTTTAAAACGCCAAACCTGCGTCGCAAGGGTTATCTCAAAATGTCAAAGACGGATTGGTTGCTTCCAAAAGCTTTAGTTTTGTAACGTCTATTTATCGGCAAGAAAACAAACCGCCTCTTGAGCTCTTATTTTTTTGAAGCAGTGGCGGGCATTTTTCAGGCACTCAAGCTCACAAACGAATTAGAACAAGACTTTTAGTTTCCCCGGTTTTCATAGACAGATTTTATCGGATACTCACTGCTATATCTTAATCGCAACGGCGCAGTTTTGTGAACTGAATCCCCTCTTGTAAATGGGCCCTCACGTTGCTATGCATCTTTACAATTGTAACAAGGATAGCCGGTTACTGTGCAAGTAGCACAAGGCATCGACCATAGTCTTAAAATAAGTTTTTTTTAAAATTAGTTTCGTTTTGTTTCGGCGTGGTGTGATTAAAGGATCTGAATGAAAAACGAGATTAGGCATATTCGACAGTCGTAGTAAAATAAATAAAATAAAAAACAATTTTTGCAGAAAAATGACTAGAAAAACGAAAAAAAAAAATTTAAGAAAATGTAATTTTGTCAAAAATTTTTGCAGTTTATTGAAATTTTTGATTCCGAAAAGCGGTAAAATACTAAAAAAAACTAACATAGCTCAAGTAAAACTAAATTGTTAAGTTTTAATTTAAGCTTTTAAGCCAGTAAAATAAGCTATTGTAATCGCGCCAATAAAGACGAAAAACCAAAATTTTCGAACTGGGTTTACTCGACACTGGGGTTTTTGTTCGAAACTTTTTAATGTCGTTCCAATCAAGATTATAAGGGCTTTAATTTGATATATCACTCAACTTTCTCCGATGATTATCCGTGGTAGATGGTTTTGCATGGAAAACAAAAAACTAAAACACCCGAAAACAAAGTTCCTCCCCATTTTTCAAATGGTCGGAACTATAATGCACACACTACCATCACAGTGAAAGAAATGTAGACTGAATCCGAAACAGTGTCACGCGAAATAAACTCGGAAGCATAAAACAGGATGAGTCTGAACTGAAAACGGGGTCTGCTCTCCTATCCAGGGCAACCCTTGCACAGCTCCGATCTGGTTGCTCGCCAATTTAAAATAGCGACGTTGACGCGTACAGAGTCGAAGGAGAGGGGGGAGGAGGACTGGGACTACATCAGTCTGCATACTCAGAAGTACTAAAATAATCTTTGCAAAAACGCGGAGTGCTAAGACGCTTGCAAATCATTTTAATCTTTCAGTTCTCCAGAATGAATAACCCGCTCTTATAAAACCCAAATCTTTGAAACGATGGCAACGTCGCCTAAACAGCGACAACCTTAACTGCTAATTATTGTTCGTGATTTGCTGCCAATGAACACTGAAATGGGGCGGAAGCTTGATGAAATCAAGTACGTGAATTAAAACTCAGATGAAGTGAAGTGAAACATCACATTGAAGCCCTTGCAGTCGTGTTTCAATAATAAAAAAGATAATAAAATGCGCATCTTCAGAGGATGAATTAATGATTTTCCGGAGGGGTGGTATTGAAATAAAGAAAGGGCCTTTTTTTAAAAAAAAAAGTAGATGGTGGTTGATAGTGCTGCCGATGGCAAGGAGGGCGCCCATATTCCTTGGGCGCAATGGAATCATTGATTGATTTATGAGGGTAGCCTTGGTGCACACCCTTAGATAGACCTCCTTTTCAGGTCCACCTGTGGGAACATGGAGTTTAATTGATACTCTAAAGTTGTTTGATCTTCTACCTGGGCTTTGGATCTCCAAAGTGTCATTTGTATGATTGAAATGCAACCTCCGACTGAATCAATCTTCCTCAAATGATTCCGTCTGACCTCAGTTCTGTTTGTTTTCTACCAATATTGACTCAACTGTTGATTCTTAATAGAATGCAAATATGGTTAATAGTCGAAGGATTTCTTACCAATAGTGCTGCAACATTCATTCAAAAATGGCCTTCGAATGTTCGTCAACAATATTCGAACACTCGGTATTTCATTGGTTTTTTCGATATTCTTGAAAAAATCTATATTTAAATGAAAAGTTTCCAAATTTCTTGCAGAATACTTTGCATGTTACACAATCTGCAGTAAGTGTTGCCCTTTTCTTGGTAACAACGTTTCCTGCAGTGCTGAAAACACCATCCAGATAGAAGTACTCGAGAATGGAATGAAGAAGATGTTCCTAGCCAAAGAAGTGAGTCTTGGATACTCAATAACATGCAGGTCAAATAGAACCGAACATCCGCGAGAGCCTTCAAGGTTTTTCGTCGAACGAACGTTCGATCACTCGGTGTCACCACTACTTGCCAATGTTTCCTTTTATATCCAGGCGGTAATAAATTAAAATGTTGTTTCAGATTATGACTGACTTTGGGTAATTATTCTGGGGATAGAAAATGCATTACCTGTATGCAACGCGTGAAGATTTCACCAACTTATACATAATCATCTCAATTTTTATCTATGCGTCTATTTTGGTCTATGTTTTTATCCTGATTCCTGCAGCTTTTAACGTGTCTTTGGGATTTCTAAACATCTATGTCAAGTTTCTTCTTTTCTTTTTTGACTGGGGTAGACGGAAAGTTTCGAGGAATCATAAACTGCAACAGCAGTCCGTTGTCGACAATGATTCAGAAAGTGACGAGATTGTTCTAGAAGAAACTGAATCAGTTTCATCAAATGGTGCTAAAATTGTTCATTCGGACAGTGCAGAATGGGCCAACTCAGCCAATGAGTATGGAGAAGAAATTTCAGCCAATGAGAAGCAGGATAAAAGAGGGACTGTTGATGACTTATCTGAAACTTCTCATGTGGAAGATGTTGCGGCACTTTCAGCAGCTACTCAGGAATCAGAAAACAGTAATCTGAACAGCGACTATGCCAGAATCATTGACAAGAAAGGGTCGGTGGGTTTGGCCGAGTATGCTCGTAAGTTATACGAGCCCTGCTACGAAAGACTCCTTACCGATCAGCGTTTCGACTTGAGTGACATTTCCTTCTACATCAAAGCGGGAGTTGACAGCATAGTGCAAGATGACGTCACGCAGAGGTTTCAGGCAGAGGAACTGAAATCGTGGAATTTTCTCACGAGGACCAACCATATCTATAAACATGACATGGGCTTTCGGTTAAGTTTGATCTGGTTCTTCGGCTTTCTGTTCCGCTACTTGATTATGTTTCCGGTTCGTGCTATAATCTTCGTAATTGGCATAGGAACTTATGCTAACTGCACTCTAATAGTCTCATTCATTCCTCAATCCAAGTTGAAGGACGCTCTGTCCAAGAGACTTAGCCTGATGAGCTATCGGGTGTTGTGTCGCGGCTTCTCGGCCATCGTGCGCTTCCACGATCGAGACAATCTGCCGACAGGGGGCGGAGTGTGTGTGGCCAATCACACGTCTCCCATTGACGCCCTCATTCTCTCCTGTGACAACTGCTACGTCCTCATCGGACAACGACACGGAGGCTTCACCGGCTTCATGCAGAATGCGATGTCGCGCCTGGCCAGTCACGTGTGGTTCGAGAGGAGTCAGAAAAGTGACCGAGAAGGTGTGATCAAGAAGTAAGTGAGCAACAAGTGCTGAAACACAACACCACCTCCACTACTCACTCACTCACTCAGTCTGCCAGATAGACAGACTCTTTCTTTAACAATGAACGCTCAGCTCATTTCTCCTTTTGCACTATCAAATGTATAGCTGTCAAATGGGCCAAAATATTAGATTTTTTTTTTTACTAATAGTTACTAATAGATTTGGGCAAATTATAAAAAAAGTTAGTATAGCGTGTCAGATTAGTAATGGATACTCTTGTTCTCATGTGTGTTCTTCTCTTCGTCAGGGTGGCCGAACATGCCTCGGATCCCACTCGCACTCCAATCCTGATCTTCCCAGAGGGTACCTGTATCAACAACACCTCAGTTATGATGTTCCGCAAGGGTAGCTTCGAGTACAGCGACCTCGTGTACCCGGTGGCCATCAAGTACGACGCCAGATTCGGAGACGCCTTCTGGAACTCATCCAAACACTCAATGCTCAGGTCAGTTGCCACCTGCTGTCATCTGTCATTTTCAGAATTGTTTGAAAATTGATCAATTTTATTTTTTTACAATACGGGCCATATGTCAAAATTAATATGTCAAATTTTTTTACAATACGGGCCAAAGGAAAAGTGATGGTGAAAGAGTTAAAATCGTCAAAAAGATTCAGAAAATCATTCACCTGAAGAATTGAACAGTTTGTGCATACAGTAATTGATAGTCAAATTCGGGAACTATGGCTACATGAGCAATGGTATTCGGAGATTTCTAAATTTAAAAGTGGGTGGCTTCTTAAATTGTAAACTATTACTTTGAAAACGAAGTCTAACCGATGCTTGTGATGTTTGTTCGTTTCGAAGTTGCATTGTGTGATTGTGATTGTGGCTGTGTGCAGGTATGTGCTCTACATGATGACCAGTTGGGCCATAGTGTGTGATGTGTGGTACCTGCCTGCTGCGAGAAGACTGCCGGGCGAAGATGTGGTGTCGTTCGCCTACAGAGTGAAGCGTCTCATTGCCACCAGAGGCGGTCTGGTCGACCTCGAATGGGACGGGAACCTGAAGCGGAGCAAGGTCAACCCACTTCATCTGGACAAGCTGAAGCAACGCACATTCGCACAAGCTCACACTCGCACTTCGTGTAATAACCTACTTGGTCTAGATATTCCATCTAGTAAGGAAGAGAAAAAATTAACACAAGTCGGGCAGAACAACAATAACGAGATAGTGGAAAAAGGTGACGAAGCAGCTATGAATATTGCCGACTCAAATAAACTAAAGCTGCTATGAGAGGGAAAGTGACTGTGACTTCGGGCGAATAATATTTTATGTTGAAAGTTGTAAGTGCAGTTATAATATAATGTCGTTGCTTTCCGGGTTGTGTGCTCTGTGGAACTATGTTATCACAACTCTTATAATTTAACAATTATGAAATGAATGTCAGATTTGCGCATTCTGAATATTGTATAACGGATGGTGTAAAGCTTTTTAGCAACCTGAAAGTTATTCTCTCAATTCTGCAATTGAATTTGTTGATTAGGTATTTTACTGATAGTTATTTTGGTATGTTTGATATTCCTGAAAGTTAAAGTTGATATTTATATATTTATACTTCGAAAGCTTCTATTACTTGTACTTCTGAGCGTAAATGCGATTTTTAACTGACGACTGCTTTTTACATTGAGCCAGCTGCGCAGAGTCAAAGACCAGAAGATCTCATAAGTTAACCAAGAAGGTCGTCTACTGACAGTGGCGCATTTAGGACTTTTAAGGGCGTGTCGTTTAAAAATGTAAGTTATATTCAATTGAAGGCCCGCCTGAACAATCTTCTCCCTAAACTAGCCATGTCAACGATATCCCCCAAAATTAAATATAAAATTTAAGCAGTAAAGCCAACATGCAAAATGCTGAATTCTTTTTGCCCGAAAAATAATACTTCTAATTAAGTAAACAATCTGCTCCTCAAATTGATTAAGTGAGAAGATTTCTCACTTTGTCTGAATTTCAGCCGTTGATTTTTACAGGCAAATCTATCAATTTTTTATCGACCTCAATTTTCACATTTTTCTTTGCAATGAGCAAGGAGGATGAAATCGGGAACGAGATTTTTTCCCCGTAAACAACTATTCTTACACATTTGATGTTGCTTTATTATCAAACTGCAGCAATTTCTAGGCCCCTTCCCAATTAGTCTGAAGGTAATGCAGTTTTCGTTGCTCCCTATGGTCTTGGGTTCGAGTCCAGGCCGCACCTTGTTTTTTTGAGCGCATGTTTTTTGCTTTGCAAGCAGTTTTCATTGTAATTTCAAGTGTCGTTGATTAACTTCTTCAGTTTGTAAATTTGCTAACCATGAGTGGTGTATTTTAAGTTTTTTTCTTTTTTAATACGCTTAGAAATTTTTATTCGGCCTAATTGATTTCGGCTTGTGTTTTGTCGGTTTAGTGAAACTTTTACCGGAAATTTTTTTTTAACTTGAAGAAATCAGGTTGGTTGAACTATAATATAAAATTTTTGAACTTCAACCAATTTTATTGCTCAATTTTTTTCCTATGGCATACTTTTTCCGGTAAAATTTGAATTGTCAGACTGACAAGTGCAAGTGTTTTTCAACGTAGTTTCATGGGGAACTTGGACCTTTTTTCCTTTAAATCACTTATTTGGGCTCAAAATGTGTCTACTCAAAGATTGTATGCTTAGCTGTCTTATCTGGAGTTTTCTTGAAGTTGAAATTACAAATGCAAGTATTGTTAAATGTATTTCCAGTGAGGGGGGCTTCAAAGTTTTTAAATTGTTTTATTGAAATCATTTTTTGGCTCAACTTGTGTCTCTTCAAAGATTGTCGGCTTTGTTGTCTTGTCTCAGAAGTTTCTTGTTCTGTAAGCAACTTTTTTTTGAAACTACCATTGCCAGTCTTGTTTATCATAGATTCAGGTGGACTTGAAAATTATAAAAGGATTCTTTTCTTTTTTTTAGCCTCAACTTGCGTCTTGTCAAAAATCGTCGGCTTAGTTGTCTCACCTTGGATTTTAATGGTTCTTTCAGAGGGGGACTTGAATTTTTAAGAAACTTATTATCAAATCTTTTTTTTCGGCTCAACTTGTATGCTAAGAAATTGTCGTCTTAGTTGTCTTATCTTGGTTTTTGTCTTGCTCTGTAAGTACTTTTCATTAAAGTTCCTAGTGCAAGTGTTGCTTAATATATTTTGAGGGGTATTTTGAATTTTCTAGAACAATTTTTTAAATCATTTTTTCCGGCTCAACTTGTGTCTGCTCAAAAATTGTCGTCTTTAGCTGTCCCACTTGGATTTATTTATTTTGTAAGCAACTTTGATTGAAGTTACAAGTGCAAGTGTTGTTTAATCTACTTCGAGGGGGATGCTTAAATATTGTGAAAAAAAATTTGAAAAAATTAAAAAAATTTTTTCGTCTACATTGTCTGCTCAACGATTTTTTTTTGGCGTCTTATGATAGATTTTTCTTGTTCTGTCAGCAATTTTTATTGAAATTACTAGTGCCAATCTCATTAAAGGTAGTTTAAGGGGGACTTTCTTTTAAAATTTGTATTAAATTTTTTTTTCGGCTTAACTTGTACCTGCTCAAAGATTTCTGTTTGCTGTTTCATATTGGAATTTCTATAGGCTCTAAACAACTTTCATTGAAGTTAAAAGTGCAAGTCTTGTTCAATGTAGTTGTGCGTGTAATCTCAGTTTTATGAGTTAAAACCGAAACGTCAACAATAAATTCGTAATCTCGACAATACAAAGTTCATCGGCAATGTTGATAATTCCCTCGAAAACTTGCTATAAAGCAGGTTCATAAGTTCACCAATAATCTGCGCTGAAATTGATATGAAAATTGGTCAAGGCTGAACTGAATTTGAAGCAAAAACGGTTAAAATAGGATATAATCCCCTTTTTCAATATATTAAAACTTGGACACAAAACTATGCCGGACTGGTCTACTGTTCTAGATTTTGCTCTAGACCACTCGGCCAACTGGTTTTAAATAGCGCCGGAATAAGTTTTTTTTTGAATTGCAGTGAAACATCCTCAGCCCCCAAAGACAAAAGAACGCGAGTAAATTTAACGGCTGCGTAGTTTGCTCGTGACGGTTTTAATGTCTGCTGATCGAGCGCATCCCTCTTTGCCTTAGTGCAGTTTGATAACAAGCCAATGCGTAGTGCCCACGTGGGTTGTCGGGCTCGACCACCCCAACCAAGTCCCCAGTTTTCAAATGACGTCGGAATTGTCTGCCAGTTTGATGAACGGCACATGTTCCCGTAACCACCTTCACTGCGTTAGCGTACGATTGCGCTCTAGCGTAACCCTTTTTATCGTCAAAATTTTCCTCGAAACTCAGCAACGGAAAAGTATCAGAGTGTTGGCTAAGTAAAAAAAAAGATTTGTGGTAAACCTCTCTAAATTGTTTGGGTTAGAGCTAACAGATGTGATTGGTCTCGCTTTTAATGATCGCTCAACCAGGCAGAGTGTAGTTCCTGAAATTTCCTCAGTTACTCTCATGCTCCCTACGATATACAGCACCCGGTTGACACTTCTCACCAATCGCTCCCAAACACTGCCGTGATTTGATGCACTGGGTGGATTGAATCTCCACTTAGATCCTTGATGGGCGAAAAGTGCTGGAGGATGTTTGTCCCAATTTTGAATGCAAGCTATGAGTTACTATAAGTTCTTTCTGAGCTCCCGCGAAGTTTGTGCCGCTGTCGGAAAGACCAGTTGAACAGTTCCCCGCCTTGCATTGAATCGCCTGACGGCCATAACGCACGAGTTTGTGTCGAGAGATGGGACCACTTCAATGGGTACTGGTCTAGTGGTAAGGCAGGTAAACAAAACCCCTGTTTTTTCAGTAAATTTGCGTAAAGGAACCAGAAAAGGGCCAAAGTAATCAACGCCCGTTTTACAGAAAGGGGCTTGCTTGTAACCCAACTTTTCAACCTGCAAATCACACATAATAGGACTGATGGTTTTAGCTTTACGCTTTCGGCATGCCAAAGAATTTTTTTCAACGTTTTGGAGCGACAAATGTATATTTAGAACGGCGAATTTTAAGTTTACAATAGCAAGCATATAAGTCAAGCCCTGATGAAAACGCTTAATGTGCAAGTGTCTCATCAAGCTAACAAAAGTATAGCATGCATTTAAGTTTTTTGGATGCCTACTATCATATTCAGCATCAACCAAGCAACTGATGCGCCCAGTCGAGCAAATGTGCCAGTTGGGCCAATGAAGGTAAGTTTTGGAAGTTCTGCAGTTTTTGGTTATAGTTTTACCAGAATTAAGCAACCTCATTTCGGTACGAAACGACTAGAACTGTGCCTGATAAATTTGATTTTGCTCTGCTTTATCCAACTCAGCGGGGTCGGTTATCTAGATGGTGTTTGCGCGGAAGTGTCTATGCGAGGGCAGCAGACGCAACAAAACTGTCACGGCACATTTTTACTTAAAAATTAAGTGTAATTTGTCCCAATTGTCGAACAGAGGTTCAGTAGTTTTTTTTTGGCCGAACTTCAGTAACAAAAGATAATGCCTTTTCAAGATAGGTATCAAAAACACCGAACTGCTTTTCAGTCGGAGTTTATTGATAAGCGTTTTGTCCGGTTCGAAAGGCAAATCAGTCGATCTCAGTAAACTTGGGCCATTAACCCAGTTGCTTTCTTTGAGGGCTTCCGAAGAAATCTATCGTGTACCTGTATGAACTGGGTTATCTCTTTAGTATTTAATGCCATTGATCTATGGTAAAAGACGCCAGAATCTCACCAGTGCGGTTGACAACAAACACTCGAACTTTTTGCACTAGTTAAACAACTGCAAAACAGTGTTACTATCTATTGAGATAAAGACGTCGGTAACTTTAAAAGTCAGTCCGTTTAAAATTTCTTCTTCGGTTTGTTTCAGGTAATAGCTTTTTTCAGATACAACTCTTGAAAACGATTACCTGGTAAGTATTTGGCTTTTTTTAAAGCATCGGCTTTTTATTGATTTAAACAGTTTTTTATTATGATTGTTAGTGTGTAGTTTAGTTTTTTCGATTAAGCGGTTTCGGCTTGTTATTTTAGTTAAGAAAACAACGTTGCGTAGTTTCGAGTATAACATGTTTGTTTCTTGTTTTAATGTGTTTTGTTATAACTTTTAAAACTTAATAGCTCAAAGTTTTTTTATGACAACAGATTTTTTCGGTTCAAGTTCTTTTCTTACTCTTTTCTTTAATTTTGAACCCTAACATCCTTCCCAATTGGCCTAGGGTAACGCCGTGCCTTTTGTTTTGTTCGCTAAAATAACTCATCACGGATTTTGCTTGTGCTGTAAGCAACTTTCATTCAAGTTCAAGAGTTGTTCATTTTAGTATCAGGTGGGAATTAGAAAGATTTTTTCTTAAGATTTTTTTTGGCTCTTCGTAGGCATTTTCGACAACTATAGTAATATAAGCGAATTGGACAAAATTTTTCGTAGAAACATGACTACAAAAACGCACAAGAAATTTAAAAAAATTAGGAGTTTTTTGAATAATGAAATTTTTGATTCCAAAAAGGCGCTAAAATACTCAAACAAACGATTCCGTTAACCTCTGAACCAACACCCACATGAACCACCACACCCCCTCCCCCCGCACCACCGCTACATAAACCTCCAACCGCACCTCCGCCCACCTGAACCAAATGACGGATTTTGCTTGTGCTGTAAGCAACTTTCATTCAAGTGCAAGTGTTTGTGTTGTTCATTCTAGTATCAGGTGGGCATTTGAAAAGTTTCTTTTTCCTTAAGATCTTTTTTTTCGGCTTAACGGGATGTCTGCTCACAGGTTGTTGGCTTAATTGTTACACTACTGATTTTTCTTGTGCCGTGAGCAATTTTCATTGTTGTTACAAGTGCAAGTGCTGTTTTTTTGTAGTTTCAGGTGGGACTTATTACTTCAAGACTTTTTTCCATAATTGTATTTTTTTGGATCAACTTAGGTCTGCTCAAAGTTTGTCGACTTTTTGCCCCTTCGTAAGTTTTGTTCCATTGCTATTTTAATATTCTAGAGTGTGGAGTTTTTCCCTGTAATGAGTTTCTATCAAGACATATCGAGAGATTTACAATTTTGGTAGAGCTAATTTTTTTTCTTGTTTCATTTTTTCCACTTCGCCTCTGTAAAGTTTTTTTTCCAAATTAGCGTGTTCTTTTTCTGTGTGGTGTGATAAATGGATCTGACGTAAATCTAGAGCTAATGCATATTCGGCATTTATAATAATGTAGGCAAATTGGACATAAGTTTTTGTAGAAAAATGACTACAAAAACGCAAATGAACATCAAAAAAAATTAGGGGTTTTTTGAATGTTGAAGTTTTTGATTCCAAAAAACTGCTAAAAGAATCAATCAAACGATTTCGTTATCCTCTAAACCCCTCCCCCAACACACAAACCTGACCAGATGCAAAATCTTTGGAATAGTTTTTCTGTTCACATTGTCGGATTGTTATAAAAATTGGCATACGGACTAATTAGGCCATGACAAACATATTTGGTCCTCATACCCAACCTTGTAAAACCACTCGTTACACCATGAAACTGATGATTATGTGAGGTGGGGGGGGGGGGAGGAAGAAAAGCCAAATGCCATTTTTGGAAGACTTCGGCCGAAAAAAATGATTTCGGCCGAAAAAAAAATATCAAAGATGCGCAGGAAAAAAATGAAATTGACTTAAGTAACCAAGTTAAGTTTAAAACGTAGAAAATACTGTATGTGCTTTGAATTTCGCATCTCTATAAAATGGAAAAAGTTGTTTATAATGTAGTTTCATTGTGCTTATCTATAAATGTGAAAAATTAACGATTATAAATGATTTGCAATGGATTTTAGTGCTTTATTAAATAATAGCATTATAATCCATTTTTAATTGAGCATAATCGATATTTTTTCACTTAATAGAAATTGACAATAAAACTCAAATGTAATCGATTTATATCGATTGAACTCCAGTGCGCGTCGGAACATTTGGGACTTTGTCCTGACACAAGCAGTCTTGTTATAAATACCCGGGTCGAGATCCCGCTCAAAAACCGCTCAAGATATGAGCGGTTTTCCAGCAAGATTTGGGCGGTTTTTTTGGAGTGGTCTATAGACGGAGTGGTCTGATGATGCAATTTGAGCTGATGAGTATGACGTGTTTGGCTGAATGTGTTGACGTTTAAACATGCCAAATTGTTGGATAAGCCCATTTAGTTACATTCATTTCCCCATATAGTGCTGGTTTGCATAGTTTTGTGTTCATGCTCTACTGAGCCGCAGATGCCATTTTGTAGTCAGAATGTCTGTTGTGGAAACGTCTGCACGTGATATTTTGTTACGATTCAGGAGTTCTCATCTAATTCGGATACTTTGCATGCTCCACCGAATAACAACGGCTGGCTGTTTTGTCGGTTAAAAAGGTAGAGTCTTTCGAGTATCTTCCTTCAAATTTAAGAGAATATTTGTCACTACATTTCAGTATTCTGATGTCTTTTTATTCAAACTTCAGCAAAATCATGCAACTTGTTATGAATTTGTTTTGTCATTGAGAAGCTTGTTCGTTATTTGTCTATCTTAATATTTTGGTAACTTCCCAATGATCTCTGGTCGCTTTTTATTTCTTTTGGGAATTATGCCATTTGAGACGTAATCATGTTTTTCAATATTCTGAGATGAAAAAAATATCTTCAGAGACAATTTTGCATGACTGATTTCTATTTTAATTCATCTCTAAAGTATGTTTATGAACTTATCATCATCTTGAACGCGGCATTTTTTTTTGTATAGTTTTTTTTCTGCGATCATGTTTATTTTGTTGAACGAGGAATCCTTTGAAGATGCGAAAAAGCGCCAGCGAGTGATAGCATACTTTCACTTTCTGTAGTTTAAGGGCTATTATGAAGTATCACACGTTGGTTTCAAAACTATGTTTCACATCTCCAAAATTGTGCAAAAAGGAGAACAAAAAGTAGTGAAGGGAGCTAATATGTGGTGACCTTATAACTGCTTTATTTTTTTGTTACATGCCATTCACTGTTTAACAATTGATTTAAACTTAATTTTGAGTTTGAAAAAACGATTAACTATATGTTACCATGGTTTGAGTGAGTTACTGTTTACACATCTTTAAATCCATTGTATTTATAGCCTCATTAAACAAAGATCATTTTATTGGTGTCTACCATATTTAAACAGATCTTGTTGACTTTACTATCTTCATTATACTTTGTTTTCTTCATCATTAAATGTCAGTTTGGCCCTTTTAAGTAGATCAACCGAAATAAATATTTGTTTTTCATTGAAAAACAACAAAAAATGTTATTTAAGTTTGGCCAATTTTGCAATATGGAAAACGAAATGAAGAAATAAAAGACGAGGCTGCCCTGAAAATACAGTTGCGGCATTAAACTCAGAATATTTTCTGATATTGTTTCGTTTCGTTTTCTATACTCGCTAAATTTTAGCGCACATAGTTGGAGCACAACTCTCGAGTTTTTAATTGTTTCAGGCTAAAATCTTCTGTTTTTACTTGGACTGATAGAAACTTGTGTTTATTTTAAAATTGGGGTTGATGATGCCGAAGGAGCTTGACTGCAGCAGCAGCGATCCCTACGACCTCGAAGTGGACGAAAAGTGCAACAGTCTGTCCGCTTCGCCCGCTATGCTCTCAATTTCGCCTGAAAAACCCCAATTTTATTACAATAACCTCAACCCCAATGACCTTTCCTTAGTCAAACCCAACTCGCCTCTTCTTTCGCCCGCCTTAGCTAACGGGGACAGTTTTGTGGGGGTGAGTAGCGAAGGTCAATCAGAGGTGATGAGTATTGAGTCAGTCAGAAAGAGACTTGAAGTTGTTCACACTTTTCCCTGTCACGAAATTGGGACAGATGGAAAACTCATCCCTAGGTGAGTCGATCGGCAGAATTATTGACAAGATTGGGTTGGATTTGAACAAAAGAAATTTTAGGTTACATATGAGGTTTCCAACTTAAAACCACCATTTTTCCCTGTATTATACCTGCAATACACTTTCTCGCATGGCGTCTAATACATGTTTGCATAAGTCGAATAAGTTTAAATATAAGTCTTGCAAGATAGTATACAGCACGTCTATCAAAGACGTCTAATGCAACGCACACCTCGTAAAATGTAAATGACACATCTCAGCGCTGATATGATTGCATATTCTATCAAGGATAGCCGGTTACTGTGCAAGTAGCACAGAATGTTCCGGTCATAGTCTTAAAAAACACAACGAAAAATTGTTTGTTTTTCAAATTGTTGTCATTTTTCTGCGTGGAATGTTAAAAGGATCTGAGCCTGGGAATATTCGACATTTATAGTAAATTAAACGATTTTGAAAAAAATTCTGTAAAAAATTGACCAGAAAAACAAAAAAATCAAATTTTTTTTTAATTTGATTTTTTTTTACAGTTTTTGACTTTTTGATTTAAAAAACTACCAAAAAAGCGGTGAAGTACTCTAATAACTTTCTTTACTTGAGCAAAACCAAGTGTTTACGGCTTGAACTAAACTATTGTAAGCTTTTAAGCTAGTAAATTAAGCTATTGTAAGCTTTTAAGCTAGTAAATTAATCTATTGTAAGCTTTTAAGCTAGTAAATTAAGCTATTGTAAGCTTTTAAGCTAGTAAATTAAGCTATTGTAAGCTTTTAAGCTTGTAAATTAAGCTATTGTAAGCTTTTAAGCTAGTAAATTAAGCTATTGTAAGCTTTTAAGCTTGTAAATTAAGCTATTGTAAGCTTTTAAGCTAGTAAATTAAGCTATTGTAAGCTTTTAAGCTAGTAAATTAAGCTATTGTAAGCTTTTAAGCTAGTAAATTAAGCTATTGTAAGCTTTTAAGCAAGTAAATTAAGCTATTGTAAGCTTTTAAGCTAGTAAATTAAGCTATTGTAAGCTTTTAAGCTAGTAAATTAAGCTATTGTAAGCTTTTAAGCTAGTAAATTAAGCGATTGTAAGCTTTTAAGCTAGTAAATTAAGCTATTGTAAGCTTTTAAGCTTGTAAATTAAGCTATTGTAAGCTTTTAAGCTAATAAATTAAGCTATTGTAAGCTTTTAAGCTAGTAATTTAAGCTATTGTAAGCCTGCTCGCTCGCTTTACTCGCCCGAAACTAGACGAAAAGTCAAAAATTTCAAAACGATTTTCCTCGACACAGGGAAATTATGTTTGGAAGCTTTTAAAATGTCGTTCGAATCACTACTAAAAGGTGTTTAATACGATATATCACTCAACTCACTCCGATAATTTTTTGTGGTACCTGATTTTGCGTGGAAAACAAAAAAAGTAAAAAAACCAAAGCAGCCGAATACAAAGTTGCTGCCGATTTGTGAAATGGTGGGAAGATAATGAATAATTAGTGTTTTGTTTGTTGTGTAGCTTCCTCTCCTGCACATCTGCACACATGTTCATTCTGCACCAGGTGCCACACAGCCCCACCCAAGTACTCCTCAAGGTATGTCACGTGTCTAAATTCACTCCCACCCCCACTCCCACCCCTCACACATACTTATATAGTTTCATGATGAGTCACAAATATAGTTTCCTGATGAGTCAGCAATGCCTTCCAGCAGGGAACCCTGCTAAACTGAAAAGTTGTGAGAGTCGATACTTGCGAATAGCTTTACTCCATTGGGAGAACAACTTGCATGCATCTATCAGGACATTTCTATTCACCAACCGTCTGAATTTGAAAATATTTTAATTGTGTAAACTGTTTGTTTTTTTTTGGGAAATTTTAGCTAAAAGATGGCTATATTTGGTAGAATGAACGGGGAATTTTTGGTACACGTTTGCAAATTTGGCATGTAAAAAAATATTACACACCTTTATCCAGAACTTGTTATTTGCACAGTTTTGTAATCACCTGCCCTAATTTTTTTTCCATCGTGAATCAATTTACTGTTTTATTCGCGTATGAATTCGTCAATCCGAACCAATTTGCCACTTGCAAAAGATCTGTGATCAAATTCCCTCATGAGGGTTTTTATTGTTAGTTTAAATTCTGTGTCTATAGCGAATAGAACTGAGTTGCAGCAAATAATTGTCGTTTCTGCAATTCGCAGAGGATCTATAAAAGGCTATCCAGACTGTCTAGGCATAGTCCGTTTGTCTTATTTCGGACTGAAAATGACAAATATGTAGATCCTTGATCTGTACGAATTATGGATTAGTGCTGTTACTTTTGGGTCATCGAAATTATCTTCCAAAACACTTGAATAATACTCAGTTGTGAACAAATTGCATCTTGTTTTGAAAAAAAAAATCCGAAAAAAAACAGAAAAGAGTTCGCCCTAACACAAGCCTCATTCACTTTTCGGAACAAGATTGTAAATTTTACACTATCTTAGGGGCGGATCTAGGATTTTCTCGAGGGGGGTGGGCGGATTTTTAAAAAATATTCAAAAAATGTGTTGACCTTTTTTGTTTTTTTTAAGTCGACCAAATTGATTTTTTGAGCTCTCCCTAAGCATGTTTAGCCCCCTGTTTTGGCAAAATTTTCTGCGCCGCAGGCGAAATTCTGAAAAACCGTCAAAAAAGACGTTTTTAAGCACTTTTTTTGGAAAATTTTGACCAAAAATCTCGCGTTTTTTCGGCGCGCGCTCCCTCCTCAAAACTAGTATATATTGGCGCCAAAGGCACCTTAAGAAAAATTTAAGGATCGGTCGGCTGAAGTTTTCTTTGTATCTGTTAAGCGTGCGACTTTTGGACTTTTGGTGGGTTTACGCTCAGTTGCGCGTGTAATTCTTTCAATGAATGTTTTTGGTACATACTGAGTTGGTTTTCATTTTCAACGTTGTTTAACCTTAAAAAGCTCTTCAATCGTTCATAAAAAATTTTCTCTTGCTACAGTTGGACGCAGATTTGTTGACCGTTAGTTACCAAAAGCAGACCTTGCCCTTCCGGTTTTTTGAAATGAGCGCCTATGGATTCTAATAGATTATAATGGATTCATGACACAAAAATAATCCATTATAGTTCATTAAAGATGCAATATTCAGACCAAGAAATCGACTATATTGCCATTATAATCGATTATAATCCGTTTTTTTTGGCAAAGAAATTGATTACTTTTGCCAAGATAATTAATTATAATCGATTATTTTTGAAACAAAATTTCATTATAATCGATTATAATCCATTTTATTTTTAGAATTAAATTCGATCTTTTTTGCAGAAATTTTGCAAGAAATTTAGCAAAAGACATGTATACCATGTCTTTAACTAAATGCCATGTCTCTACGTCACCCCCTCCCTTGAAGTTTTTTTTATCTCCTCCCCAACTAAAGAGGACGGGGGCTAAACTGGGTGGGGGGATTGTAGATAAACTGGGGGGTGGGGGGGATTGTAGGTGTCAATCATTAACCCCACTCACTCAAAGTCTACAAATAAATAATTCCTCCCATGTTCAACCATAAAGTGGGTGAATGGCGCTTAAGGTAAACTGGCAGGGAGGGGGGGGGGTAAAGTAAAAGGGGTATTAACTGAGATGAGTTGAAAAAGTAGAGACAAAAAATATATAAATTTTTATGTGAATTGTAATATTTTATGAAACGTAATACGTAACAGCTGCACTAAACAGGAAATGAGATAACATTGAAAACAGAAGTTGAAAATTTCATGATTAACGTCTCGAAAAAATCCCTTATAATCGACTGTAATCAATTATAAAAGATTATATTGGCATATGAAATATTAGGATTATAATGCATTCTTAATGGATTATAACCTATCATGACGGATTATATTCACTTTGAAAATATTAGGATTATAATCCATTTTTAATAGATTATAATTATATATTCTGTATTTTTATAGGTATTGACCATATTATGACAATATAATCGATTATGATCCATGGGCGCTCGGTGCGGGCTTATTTTAATTTTTGAGGCCTAATGGGAAACATAATTATGAAGACAGTTGTTGAAAGCTGTCATTACGCAACCAAACTGTGTAGTTTGTGACTTGTAAGTGGATTCCGCAACAAGGACGCTCCCTTTGTTCTTCTTATTGGCTTGTTCTTTTATTCTCTTTGATCGTTCCGACAAAGTCTTAAAATGTTTAAAGACTACCTGGAATTCAGGAACATACAGACACAAAATTGTGCGCCTATCCAGTTTGACCTCGCAATGGTAATTGAACTGATACTAACTGCTGCAAGACATTTGACATGTCAATTTAATATGCCATCATGACCTGCGGTACTGTTTTTGTTTATTTCACTCATCCTTTTTATGACCCCACGTTTTGTCTAGGGGCAAAAACAAAAGTATTAATTTCTTCTACAATGTTTGGCTTCTCTTTAATTGAGATAGCAAGGGTTTTTCCTGCGCTAACAAATTAATAAAATCATCAACTCTTACAAATATTGTTCGGAAATTATTTTTGTGTTGCAAATGGTACGATACGCACCAAAAACATTTTTTGGGTATTGGCTGGTGTTCGCCATTTTGTAGTCGAATAACTCTTACTCGATTTCTGATTTGAATAGTAACTTTTTTCTTTATTGTGTGTTTTGATGCAAATCATGGTTTTCAGTTTATATAGCAAAAAAATACAAAAAACGTTTTATAAGTTTTGGTTTTGAACAATTTGTCAAATCCGTATACAGTTTTTTTTTGAAATTTGTTCTGAATGGTGGCAGGACAAAAAATACCATACAAATAGCTCCCGTGAAAAAAGATACTGTACCAAAGGATCCCTTGTACTAAAAAATGACCATACCATAAGATTCCCTGCCAATTTAAAAGATCCCATGAATTAAGAACATAAGTCAAGATCAAAGTGTAATCAGAAATAAATCTAGAGTAAAGATACCTCAATTAGTTTCGCGCTTTTAATGAACAACGCAAATCTAAGATAACTAAATTTAAACTGGACTCATTTTTTGGATTAGAAGTGCCAGTATGTGTTTAATTTAGTGTCAAAATGGCATTGAATTACAACAACTCAATTGAAATTGAATACTCTGTGCACTCACTATCTTACTCTTTAACTTGATGACTAGTCAAAAAGGAATTCTTTTACTAGGGAACATCACAAAAACGCCGAACAATCATGATTTTTAACGGCCATGAGTTTCAAAAGAAACGCGATACGAAGACAACACCACACTGGCGCTGCAGCACATAGAGAGCGTTTAAGTGCCCGAAAACATAAATCACTTTAATCTCAAACAGCAACAAGCATAGTCACGAGCTCAGCGCAGGACGCTCAGAAGCTCGACAACTAGTTCAGCAAGTGAATGAGACAGTTGAGATTTAACTAAATCCATTAAAAGCCAGATCATGGCAGCTAGTTTGCAATCGGTGCAGGATGACAATGAAGGCAACCCAACTGTCTTTGCCCCCACCGGTCGGCGATAACACGAATTTTAATTAGAAGTAAAGATGACCCTCATTTCGAATTACGGAGTCGTTTCATGCATTTTTGTCTCTCTGATAGCGGAAAAGAAGATGCGGAGCGCATAATGATTTTTGGCGATATTGGAACCTGAATGCACTCAAATTGTACAAAATAACATGGCTTATTGACAGTAATTGCAAAAAAGCCCTAGTCAGTTTTACCAGCTCTGCACTGTACACATCCAGATTTCCGGCTTTGATCCGCTTTTGCGCTTTGCGTCTACGCAATGCTCAGCAATAAACGCTTATCAACCTATAACAGGTTCCTAACCACACTTAAATCGCTTATCGGTGACGTAACTCCGGAATGACTTTTGATCGATTTTGAAATTGCGGCGTTGAGTGCTTTTGCATCTCATTATGAAACTGACATTAAGGAAGCTATTTTCTTCTCTGTCAAAACTTTATGCGGAAAATATCCGAATGGGCCTTGAGAAGAATCAAACAACGAGCTAGTCTTAGCGCTGATTATGACTCCTGCTCTTAGTTTTGTGCCGGAGTTAAAAGTGAAATTGGCCTCGACTTAGTAATTGAGGAAATAGACAGTGTGGCAACCAAACTGGATACTTCACAAAACGATCTCGGAAAATTAGACGAGCTCACGGCTATTTTTCAAAAAATGTATATTAAAGTGGATTTGATTGGCCCAAAAAGTATTTCCTATTTATTTATGAAATCATTGTCAATATGCGTTTTGGGGTCTAGTTCGAACCACTAATGCAGTTGATAGATGGTGTCTAGATTTACCGCTTTGTTTTGTTTCAAGGCAGCCATCCATCAAATTATACCTTTCTTGAAAAAGCTCAACTGAATTCCTACAACCAAAAACTCATTATTTTGAAAGCCTTCAGCGGTACTATCGGTTTATCCCGTAAGAAGTACCACCGTGATCTGAATGAAAAAATTCAAGAAATTAGTTTATGTACAGACTCATACATATTTTCTAATATTCGTTCACTTGCTTATTTAACCGTTTATATATTTTTTTAATTTTGCCTAATTTTTCCTAAATTTAAATTTGTCCGATCAATCTTTTTTATAGACGTATCCTCGCGCCCTCTCGGAGACTGCGGAAACGCAACACTACCACTCGCATTAGGAAGGACGGTCTCTAGCAATTTAATCCCAGAGCATTTGCCTTTATTTACGGGACGCTAGGTTGGGGGTAGGGGCCTATGAAACAATGCTAGAGTATACCGTGTAGCAAAAATATGATCAAAATTGAGAAATGATTTTTTTTATCGAAAAGATTGGCAAGTGATTCGCAATGAAGATGATTTCAAAGCTTTAGAATTTTGCAAAAACTTAAATTCGAATTTGTACCGACGTGAGTTGTCTCAAAAATCAGACCATTTTTGGCAAAGTTGGTTTGATAAATTGGAAGTTGAGTGTTTTTGCGTCTCATTAATAAACTGAAATTAAAAGATGCTATTTTCATCTCTGTCAAAGCTTTATGCGGAAAATATCAGAATTGGGCTTCAAAAGGACTTAGACGAGCTCACGGCTTATTTCCAAAAAAAAACGATTTTAAAGGGGATTTGATTGGCCGAAAAATTGGCTTTGATTGGCCTGGAATTTGTTGTTACGTATGCGCCACACGCATTTATAACTACAAAGTCCGGTAATTTTTGTTGTCACGAAAGGTTATCTTCGAAAACGTAATAAAAACTTTGGAAATCGCTTATTTAAATGTTCCTGCCAGTCATCCAGAAGTGCTCCCTGCTTGTCCGTGGCTAGATTTCCTTAGATGTTCAATGTCGACGCGTGCTTACATCAGCTTTAGTCCCTGGGCTGGCATGTAGTCCCTCCCAATGATTGATAGTCTGCACCCTCCGATCAAGTTGATGACCGCATGTGTTGTTCATGCACTAGAGTTTACTGTTGCGTTCATTTTCCCATAATCTTCAGCAGATTGCTTACTTAATACCTCGATTTGTCATCATCTGAACCGATCTTTGTAGACGTATCCTCGCACCCTCTCGGAGAACGCCGAAACGCAACACTACCACTCGCATTAGGAAGGACGGTCCCTAGCAATTTAATCCCAGAGCATTTGCCTTTATTTACGGGACGCTAGTTTGGGGGTAGGGGCCTATGAATCAATGCTAGAGTATTCCGTGTAGCAAAAAAAATGATCAAAATTGAGAACTGATTTTTTTATCGAAAAGATTAGCCAGTGATTCGCAATAAAGGTGATTTCAAAGCGTTAGAATTTTGCAAAAACTTAAATTCGAATTTGTACCGACGTGAGTTGTCTCAAAAATCAGACCATTTTTGGCAAAGTTGGTTTGATAAATTGGAAGTTGAGTGCTTTTGCGTCTCATTAATAAACTGAAATTAAAAGATGCTATTTTCATCTCTGTCAAAGTTTTATGCGGAAAATATCAGAATTGGGCTTCAAAAAGACTTCCGAATCAAACAGCGAGGTAGTCGTAGCGCTGATTATGTTTGCTGCTCTTAGTTTTGTGCCTGAGTTAAAAGTGAATTGGTTTCGACTTAGTAATTGAGGAAATAGACAGTTTGGCAACCAAACTGGATACTTCACAAAACGATCTCAAAAAATTAGACGAGCTGACGGTTTTTTTTTCCGAAAAACGTATATTAAAGTGGGTTTAATTGGCCCAAAAACACTGTCCTATTTCTCTATGAAACCATTGTCAAAATGCGTTTTGGGGTCTAGTTCGAACCACAAATGCAGTTGAAAGGTGGTGTCTAGATTTACCGCTTTGTTTTGTTTCAAGGCAGCCATCCATCAAATTATACCTTTCTTGAAAAAGCTCAACTGAGTCCCTACAACCAAAAATTCAGTATTTTGAAAGCCTTCAGCGGTACTATCGGTTTATTCCGTAAGAAGTAAAACCGTTATCTGAAAGAAAAAACTCAAAAAATTAGTTTATGCACAGACTCTTACATATTTTCTAATATTCGTTCACTTGCTTATTCAACCTTTTAAGTTTTGTTTTAATTTTGCCTAATTTTTCCTAAATTTAAATTTGTTCGATCAATCTTTTTATAGACGTATCCTCGCACCCTCTCGGAGAACGCCGAAACGCAACACTACCACTCGCATTAGGAAGGACAGTCCCTTGCAATTTAATCCCAGAGCATTTGCCTTTATTTACGGGACGCTAGGTTGGGGGTAGGGGCCTATGAAACAATGCTAGAGTATTCCGTGTAGCGAAAAAAAAGATCAAAATTGAGTACTGATTTATTTTATCGAAAAGATTGGCAAGTGATTTGCAATGAAGATGATTTCAAAGCTTTAGAATTTTGCAAAACTTAAATTCGAATTTATACCGACGTGAGTTGTCTCAAAAATCAGACCATTTTTGGCAAAGTTGGTTTGATAAACTGGAAGTTGAGTGCTTTTGCGTCTCATTATTAAACTGACATTAAGAGTGCTATTATCATCTCTGTCAAAGCTTTATGCGGAAAATATCAGAATTGGGCTTCAAAAGGACTTAGACGAGCTCACAGCTTATTTCCAAAAAAAACGTTTTTAAAGGGGATTTGATTGGCCGAAAAATTGGCTTTGATTGGCCTGGAATTTGTTGTTACGTATGCGCCATACGCATTTATAACTACAAAGTCCGGTAATTTTTGTTGTCACGAAAGGTTATCTTCGAAAACGTAATAAAAACTTTGGAAATCGCTTACTTAAATGTTCCTGCCAGTCATCCAGAAGTGCTCCCTGCTTGTCCGTGGCTAGATTTCCTTGTATGTTCATTGTCGACGCGTGCTTACATCAGCTTTAGTGCCAGGGCTGGCATATAGTCCCTCCCAATGATTGATAGTCTGCACCCTCCGATCAAGTTGATGACCGCATGTGTTGTTCATGCACTAGAGTTTACTGTTGCGTTCATTTTCCCATAATCTTCAGCGGATTGTTTACATAATACCTTGATTTGTCATCATCTGAACCGATCTTTGTCAGCCGCACGTTTTGTGTGCCCAAGGTACGTTTGAGTTCTCCGATTGTGAAAGTAGAAATTGGCGCGCCACTGTCGATCCATTCTTTCGTTACCTTCTCGTTGATTTTCAACGAGAGCTTAGCCTCCGCTCCTCTCTGTTCCTCTTCTTTTTTGAAAGGACATCACAATATAATTGTTGGAACTATCCGAATCCCTCCGTGGGATGCTTCTTGCGTCGCGTTATCCCATTTGTAGGAGTTCTCGCGTTGGAAAGCTACGTCGTCATGCTCTGTAATGTTTTCCCCCCTGTCTGACTGGTCCGTCCCTGTGAATAAGGCCCGCTCAGCCTCTGCCTGCGGCGTTACGTCGTCGACAGGTATATTCGTAATGTCCCGTTTTACAAAAATTAGACAGTGCATTTCGCGCTGGGCATTTCCCGATGCGGTCAGCTGTGAATCCACTTCGCAGCTGTGAAATCTATCTGTAAAATCCTCCCTCCGATCCCCTTCCGCGCCCTTGGATGTCCACTCGAATTGTGCTTACCGCCACCTTGTAACTCTTCGAATATTTGTCCCTGCGCTCGTATGACAAAGCAATCCGGTTTATCTCATCCGGAGTTTTGCTGGAACAACATTGTTCCGTCTACGCGTTCCTATTAGGCATTTTGACAATGAATACATCTTGTAGCACTCTGCGCTCCAGGATTCCCCCTCCCCGAGTTGCACCGCGCTTCTAATCCTTAAAGACTATGTGAAACATCTCCAGCGATTCACCATCCCGTTGCTTTCTTGACAATAGTTGTTACGTTTCCAAGGTTTCATTGCGTTTGTTCATGAAAACATCTTCAAAAACGTCAAGCTACCTCGGATACTTCGTCGTCGAAAGGTGCATGTGGGGCATACGGTTGTATTTCGTCCTGCCCTCGTTCGCCCAGATATAGGTACAGGTTTGAGATCACTGTCTGCTCCACCTCCGCACGGTTTTTTGCGAGCAAGTTCGCTGATTAACTTGAGCTGCTGTGAGAGTCTTCGCGAAATAAAATAATGTGGAATTAAATCCATGTTTCGCTATTACTCTCCAGGTAAAGCGCGTTATCCAGTGTTCCCATAACATTGATACCTCCGTCCACGTACTCGGCCAGAATGCCGTTATTCCTAGCCGGTTTTGCCGAGTTCGCGCGCCGTATCCTGCTTGCTGCGCCATAACAAAAACATCGTATTCAATACGTTAATTCAATGTTTTAAAACTGTTCAACCGTAATTAAAAAATGTATAATTCAACACACTGTTTTAGAGTTTCAATTACTCGTTTGCAAGATGGCAGGTACTAATCAAAATGACAGATAGACAGATCCAAGGGCGTCAATAAATAAAACGCAGATCAACTGTTAAGCTTAAAATATTTGTTCTAGTTTGTTTGACACTTGAAAACACGATTTGAGTTTTTTGGAATAGAAATCACACTTTTTTGATACTGCATTAGATTATTTGCAAGCTTTCTGTGTGCAGAATCTGCAAAAACAGAGAAAACTCGCCCATTTTAAAGACTGATTGAGAAAATGCAAATAAAATTTTTCGAAAAAATTTTCCAAGCTCTCCCAAAGCTTTAAAAAGACCCAGTTTTGGCAAAGTTTCTGCGCCGCAGGCAAAAAGTTTTGAAAAAATAGGCCATAAATAGCGTCTTTAGGCACTTTTTGGAAAAAGTTTTCCCAAAAGTCTCATTTTTCGGCGCGCGCTCCCTCTCCCCTAAAAGTTAGTATATAGTAGCGCCAAAGGCGCTTTCAGAGAAATTTTAGGGTCCGCCAGTCAAAAATGGATATCTCAAAATAGCTCAAAGGGAGATTCGAATCCTTTTGGGTCGGCAGGGGGTCGAATCCCTGAGGAAAAGGTCGTTCAAATCCGCCCCGGGGTGATGGTCGCCCTTTTAATTGAGTCACATTGGCCCCGGGGCACTTTTAATTGGTTTGTGAATGGCTGAACTAGCAAAAGTCCAGCACCTAAGAAAGGTTTTTTTCGAGGTTTTTTCTAACTCTCCAATATCTGGACAAAACCATGACATTCAGTTGGCATCTTACATAGTTAATAGTGTTTTTCACAGGCAAGAAGAGCGCTGAATTCGATAGTACGAATCACCAGCAAGAAAAGTCGGCCAGAGGTTATGACCTTTTGCTACGGGGTGAGACATGAAGACAGTCAACAGGTGCAGATATGTGCCTCCGAACGGTTTCTCATTCCAAATGCAGAAGAAACTGTCAAGAGAATCGAGAAGCTCATTTGTGAAATCATGCAGAGTTTTGCCTCGTAGCTTTACTTCCATTGCAAATTAAGTTAATTCAACTATATCTCTCATTTAAGTTATGTATTTTGAAATGCTATATATTGTTTTTTTTTTAAATTACAAGTAGTTAAATATTCTCGTTCTTGTTTTTTTTTTACATAATACAGCTAACAGGAACATGACCCGCACTGGAGTTTCATGAATAATATTTGATTATATTGGATTTTCATCGTCATTCTATGAAAAAATCAAAAATAATTGATTATAATGGGTTGAAATTGGATTATAATAGCTCTAAAATAATTCTTGTCAAATAAAAAAAAATCATTTTACTTGATTCTAATCAATTATAAATGATTTATAATCAATGAAAATGGACTATAATCCTTTTTTTGTAAGTTTATCCCAAAATTTTGAACACAGTTCAGTATATTGCAAAGTTATGCTTTTGACTTGACACGCGTTACAGATAAAACGAGATTTGATTTAGTTTAAAAAGTATTTTCAATTATCGTCCCTCCAATATAACCCCTCACCCCCCCCTCACGTCTATCTCCTCCCCGCTTACACCAAAGCACCCCACCACCTCCCGTTTACCATCCCGCGTGGAGCGGGATAAACGTGGGAGCAGGACAGGACGTAAGCGAGATTTATGAGCAGCGGTGTAAACTGGGCGGTAGGAAAAGGGGTGTCATTGGAGTAACTGGTGGGCGGGGGATAACTGTGGGGGGGGGGGGTGCTAAACTGGATGTGGAATAAACATCGGGAAGAATAAACTGGTTGAAGGGGCGAGCGTGTACGGAGAAAATGAGTGGTAGGGGGATTAAACGGGCGTTATAAAATTGAGTTAAATTAGAATTCGAGTAGGCCCTGAAGTTGTTGAAAGCTTTGCAATTAATTGTGCAAAAAATACAGAGAGATTTTAATCTATTAAAATCAATCAGTATCGGATTTAGGGGGGGGGGGGGGTGCTGTCCCCACTTTGATTTTTTTCAAAAATTTTTTCAAAGGGCCCTTTTGGCTTGGTCTTTTTGTAGTAGAGGCGTGACAGTACTAGAGGTGTGAAAATGGGTACAATTTTGAGGCCTCAACTCAGACTCATTTCAGACTCGATGCAGGTACCTGCTAACAGGTACCTGTCAACCTGCCTCATACATAGTATACATACCCCGTTCAAAATTACCTTGCTCGTTCTAAAATCAGCTCAATCTAAGTCACTTGACTTCACACTGCAATTCAGACTGAACTTCAACTTCAACCGTCCAGATGTCAAAGCGGATGCTCCCAAGGACTCCCAAGGTTTCTGATTTCAAGACGCTCAAGGCCTTCTTCACGAGTGGACCCAAGAAGTCATCGCCCTCATCCAGTGCAACTACTCCTGAGCCTGGCAACCCTGGACCATCAACTCATGAAACGCCCAAACCTGGGCCTTCAAGGCTCTTAGAGCCACTCTCTCTCACCTTTGGCCACCATTAAAATTGAAACTCTTTCATCGACTTGTTCTATATCTCCGCTCTCTGACCAAGCCTGCTGTCTCCAGTTTGCATAGCATAGACATAGGGGTTGGATTTTCCGATCCCAAGAAATCATCCGATCATCAGATAAAAATAAACATAGATTTGACATCCAAACAGTTAACCAAGGTTTTAAGATTCGTTTGTGGATTCCGCTGACAAATGGATAAGTCCATGCTTTCAAATCGGCGTTGCTATATAAAATAAAAAAAAAATTTCACCTCTAGCTTTTAGTTGTACACATGCGAAATCAGTAATAAACAAAAACGCAGAATCCACTAACAATTTGCGGAATCCGCTTACATTTGCATATTCCGCATAGAAAAATTTGATCCAACAACCTCTGGCTTGGTGGTCATTTTTTTTACCTCTCGGCGAACAGACCCGTTAGGCGAACAAATGTAAGAAGTCGTCCTTTGCAAATAATCAGTTACAAGAGTTTCTGAGTTGCAAAACCATTTTCTTACCCTTGAAAACAGTTATTACACACTTTATAAAAAAATGACACCTGAAAAAAAACGTTAAGGATAATGATAAACTTAGTTTTGCACTCGAAGTCAGTCATATATCGTATTGATCGGTAATGGATAAAGGAACTCAAACCAAAAATAAAATAAAATCAGAACTGAAAATAATTTTAAAACTAGTTTGATATGTAGGATCAACCGCCGTAAAATTTTTTGATCTATCGTTGAACACCTTTTAGACTTTTTGTATTAGTAACTAAAACATACAATCAGAATTTCAATTTAAATTATTACTATCGTGAAAATTGATTTTTAGTATTGAGAAACCGCGTTTTTTGAATACTAAAAAGTCAACTGTCAAAATATAATAGATTAAATGAAAATTCTTGATGGAATCTTCGTTACAAGGTTCCATAAAAGGGAGCAAATGACAAGATCGAAAACCGTTGTTTTGGATTTCATTATTTTCTCCCCTTTATGGTGCCTTGTAACGAATATCCTCCCTATAAAGATGTATCACTCCCAATATGCCCCCACGAAATTTGTACTTTGTTAACTACCCTCCCATTGCAATAGGGGAGAAATAGTAAACATGATCCCCTGTTTTTTTTCCCCCGAAATTGTTGGGGAAAATGTACAGTTGATCTCCATTTGTATTGGTTATTGCCAGTGTTTTGGATTTAGCAGAATTGCAACAAACTATCGATACCGACAACCAATATCTGGGATTTTGCAGACTTGCAACAAACTATCGATTGTCAGTATTTGGGATTTTGCAGAACTGCAACGAAATATTGTCGTTATTTGAGATTTTGCAGAACTTATTGTCAGTATTTGGGATTTTTGACAGTATTTGTGATTTTGCAACTGCAACGAACTATTACCAGTATTTGGGATTTGCGCATATGTATTTAATTTTCTTTGTTCCAAGTTCGTTTTAGGTTTTCAGTCAGTATATATTAAGATTTTCTCCTTGAGTTAAAATTTGTACTCCAATTAGAAATTAAAACAAAATCGGAACAAAATTAATAAAAATGGACCGAACTGATCAGTATTTAAGATTGATCTGAACTGCAACACGAACAAATGTCAGTGAGATTTTGCTAACCTAGAGAAATAACTGTTTCAGTTTTTGTGATGGGTTATAGACTGAACGGCGCCATTACACATTCCTCTCCGTCAAGATTTGAGATTTTGAAAAACTAGAAACAAAGTAATTCAGTATTTGGGATGGGCAATAGACTGAACGGCGCTATTACACATTCCTCTCCGTCAAGATTTGGGATTTTGCAAAAAAATAGAGAAAGGACAATTTCAGCATTTGTGATGGGCTTATAGACTAAACGGCATCATTACACAACTTATTCAGAAGCGATCTTATAAATAGTGATTTGTTTACTGAAAAAAAATATTTAAGACGGGGAAGCATAATTACCCCTAACTTTTTTTAAGAAAACAAAACGTTGGGCCATATATTATAACAGAAAAAAATACCCGTAGAAGTATAACAGAAACAATATAGTTACAATGCAGTTTAATTGGATAGTTCAAGAATAATTGATCTCCTCGGATTAACATAATTAACCATTCGATGAGCGTATGATAATCACGGATTGTGAAATCTAACAATTGAAAATCATTTAATCAAATTGAAGAAACATTTAGTGACTCTTTTAGTTGATGGCTTAAGAAAGCATCGAAACAATTATGACTCTAAGTTGACTATGAAGTATATCCGCTGGCTATGAAGCTTAAACCAATTTTGGCCAAGTCGGTTAGGCCAAGTCAAAAATTACGCCATAAACCACAATTAGTTTTCCGATTAAGCAAATTGGTAATTCTACGGATATGGATAACTTAAATAACGCCCTCTATTCATTCATCACTGCACCTCTTTCGAATTCAGTTTGAAAATCTTCTAAATGCATTCATTACTGCACCTTCATCGAATAAAGTTTCCGACAAACAACTCCGACAAACAAAACCGACACAAACATCGCCAAAAACCGATATACGAATCGGCATACGACTCGACGTACCAACAAACAAACCGACTTGAACCGACTTACGAATCGACAGACATATAAGCGACATACAAATCAGGACGCACAAACCGACGCGTACGAACCGACATACGAAAGGACGGCTCGCCCGATACGACAAACGACTCTTCGATGACCGAGAAAATATGGAGCAACAAAAGTGGAATCGCTTTTCGATAGCATCAGATAATGATACAAATTTTGTAGACGACAAAATTCTTGTGGAAATAGCAGGAAACGATTTGGCAAACAAATATCGAACATGGCAAAGACTAGTTTCAGAAATGGTAGATGGAACAACATTGGAAGTTGACGATCTTGTACGAAAAATGGCAATACCACGGCAATGCAGTCATTCAATTGCAGTAGCAGCAGGAATCATGCAGATATTAATTCTACGTGGCTTCAAAGAGATAATGTGAAACGAATAAAGGAGGAACCTGAACAAGTTTCTTATTTCAGAAACAATGCTACCCGAAAACTCACTTTTTTGTGTGACAAACCATCAGAACAGCTCGACACCGCCCTTAGAATAGTTAGGAACCTCATCAGTTGTAGGAACCTCATCAAGAACCCCGACATCAACAGCATCAGCAACCTCACAACCATTAGCCCTTCCAGCACTCAGAACCATCAAGAAGTTCAGCAACCACATCTTTATACAGGTACCAACATATTCAAATTTGAAGCATGCGATTCATTGCAAAACTACTCGAAAGAGAGCACTGACGACACTACAACTGTGGCGCACTCAAAAAAACCTTGGCGCCAAGTTCTGTTTTATGTTCGATGCCAAAGAATTAGCATGCAAGGACTAATGGGAGTAGCTGAAAAGGACTCGCAGATAATAAAACGCAATAAAGGTGGTCGCAAAAAATGTAGATTTACTTTTTTGACCTGTTTTACGATTACTCGTTTATTTAAGAAAAGCGTATCTTTGGAAGATTTCCAGAACAGTTTGGCTAAGGCGACAAAAACTGGAAATGTTGACGATATTATCAACACTATTCAATCTCGGCTTGAAATTACAGGCTTCAAATCATTCGTTCCTTCTCCTAGGCACATTTGTCGAGCAACCGCCGAAATAGTGGTTCACTTTACAAA